CCTGCCTCACTATACTCTCCCATGTCAACCAAACCTCTCCAACCTCAGATTTATATTCTCTGATCCCACATTGCTTTCATGACTCAGCAAGAGGTCTCTGCATCAGGAAGAAAGTGCGGCGAGTGCTGGAGGGAGGTAGATTTTGGAACAATTGTTAGAAAACAGCATTAGCAACCCCGGCTAAAGCTAAGCCAACAGGTGTACCCTTGGACGCAGCAAATGCCCCCCTCCCAGTGTACAACCGAGAGAAATGAGGGCGTGTAAGTCACAAACAAGATGTTCATGGCAGCATTATGATGGACAGTCTAAGAGTCCATCACCCAGAGAATGGATAAATACCAGGAGACACAGAAAGATGAGCTGTGTGATTCTTGTTAGATGAACTGAGGTTGGCTTTGGGGTGGACTCACCTGGGAGGGGCACTAGGATTTCTGGGGATCCAGTCGGAGTGGTGTGAAATCTCATCAAGCTGTACACGTCAGAATCATGCTTGTTAGTATTTGCAAGTTATGCTTCCGTAGACAGGTTTTTACAAGAATGTTAGCGACGTGGGAGTGCCAGCTGTGAGATGGGAGGCCACGCTGTGCCCAGGCTGTCACTGCCACTCTTCCCTGGGCTCTGGGTCCTCTTTGAGAAAACAAGAGGCAGAGGTTCTGGAGGATGTTCTCTGAGATTCCTTCACCCCTAAAATTCTGAACTGACAGTCGCTCCCCGTGTCTGTCCCTCCACGTCCAGGTGGGCACACTCCCTCCTTGGGAGGATGGTTATCTTCTGACTCCTTGAGTTGAGGGGGAGCTGGTGTTTCTTCTCCCCCGTGTGCCCAGCTGCTTCCCTCCAGGAACATGGGGAGCCTGGCTGGCCCGGGTGGGGATGAGCACGAACTCCTTCAGGGGGAATCTTGCCTTTGCACCCCCGTCGTCTCTCTTCCCCTTGAAAATCTCTGGTCGACCAGTTCTCCCCCACCCTCGCCCGCACTTACTCATGGAATTATCACCTGTGTGGCGTTTTCTTCCAGATAGAAAATTCTGTGCATCAGTTATTATCCAGATAATGAGTCATTGATTTCAATAAGAATCGCTTCCATGATTCATCGCAATCCATTCTTTCCCGATGTCCACCCATTTTGCCAATGGGAACTATTCTTTAAGCTCATTGACACGCTGAGGGAATACAGAGCGTATTGTGTCAATTTATAGTAACTGAATCTGCAGAATCGCTGCATAATGAACAATCTGCGCTATTCTTGCATGGATGTGGACGTGGTCAATGCATAGTAGACACACTGTGCAGGGCACGTCGCCCATGCAGGCTGAAAGGGAATCTTGTCTGGGCCCCTTCTCAGTGCAGCTCGGCAGCAGTGCCCAGCCATAGGGCTCCCATTCAGACTCCAGGCCCAAGGAGGGAGGGATGCCCCTGGGAGGAAGAGTTTGTGCTTAGGATAGTCAGAACGGCTCCTTGGGGCTGGGGGCAGCATGAGCTGATGGAGGTGGAGGCAGGGGGCACAGTGATTCTCAGGGGGGGTTGTAGAGTAGCTGGAAAGGAAGGGGCAATTTATGAATGGAAAAGGCAAGAGGTAGGGGTGTCTGCCTGGAATCTCACATATGCATGGAGGTAGAGCACCAGAGCAGGATGCCCCATGGAAATCGTAGGGTCTAACTCATCAGTGTGCAGTCGAGCAAACTGAGGCCCAGAGAGGCTGAGTCTAAGTTGATAAGGAATAGAATCGAAGATGTGCCTGGGAGGCAGGCTCGGACACACTGTGCTCTTCCGTCTCTGGTCCTGCCCCATCTCATTGGCATTGGCAACTTAGGGTCCTCCTGCCAGGATGCCATCTAGCTATGGCCCTGGTCAAGTCTGGGATGAGGCTGGCTCCTTGGATCATAGGCCATGCCAGCCCGATTGCCACCTCCTGGGCAGGCACACGCGGAGTTCTGCCCATACCCAGGGGGGCTGGGGGCTGTGGCTGGTGCTGTGCCCCTCCTTGCAGGGACCCCTTTCTGGGGAGAGCTAAGGAGGGCTCCTCATGCAGGAAGCACCAGTGTAACCCCACATGTCCCCCATGACATGTGGTGGACTCATTATGTTTCTCTCATTATGTTCCCGAAGGTGTATGTGAATGGAGAGTGGGTGACCAGCATCAGCGAAGGGGGCAGTTTTGGGGAGCTGGCACTCATATACGGCACCCCCAGGGCCGCGACAGTGAAAGCCAAGACCGACCTTAAGCTCTGGGGCATCGACCGTGACAGCTACCGGCGAATCCTCATGGTGAGTGGCATCCTGGCCATGGAGGCCCCGCCAGGGCCAGGGAGGGCAGCAGCTGAGTCTGACACCCACCCACAGCCAAGCATCACACAGGAACCCTGGCTTCATTCAAGGTGGGATGTGCCTGGAGGAAAGACATTTCCCAGTCTCCCTGATAAATGCAGCCTGTGAAATGAGTGGAAAGTGTTGGGAGGGATTCTGGGAAGCTTCTTAGAAGACAAGCAGGAGGCTGGGGAAGTCCCTTTTGCCTTCCTCTCCTTTCCCCTTCCAGCCGTCAGGAGTGTGGTTGTAATGGCCAGAGCTCCAGCTGCCATCTTGGACCATGAGATGACTTTGAAAATGAAACCCATTCATGAGGGTGGTGGAGCAAAGAGATGTGAGGAGCCTGGCTCCCTGCTGACGCAGTGGGGCCACTATGCCAGGGTCAGACTGTCTGCCCCCTTACTTCCTTTAGGTGGGGATTGACCCTTGGGTTTTATGCCACTGTCATTTTAGGTTTTTTGTTCTATGCAGCCAAATCTACTCTTAGCTGGTAGACTGTGAGTGTGTGTGCACGTACAGTGCATGCCTGTGCACATGGGCAGCCCATGGTGGGGCAGTTGAGGGCTATGGGGCTGATTGGGCTGTCTCAGCAGGTATTCACGGGAGGCTCCTGGGGGTGAGCGCCTGGACTGAGAAGACTGAGAGGCCTCTCCAGGCTCACCCTACACACAAACTACCCTCTAGGTGCTGCTCTAGGTGCTGGGTGCATCAGGGAACAGCAGGAGGCACACAGCTGACATCCTAATGGAGGAAGACAGACAGTGAACAAACACACAGCTCAGATGGTGTAAAGCAGAGGAAGGGTGAAGGTGGACCCAGAGGTGGGGAAGGGGCTGCTGTTTTACAAAAAGGCCTCAGAGACATTCCCCTCCTTGATAAAGTGACATCTGAGTAGAGGCCTTGGAACAGGAAGGCGGAGAGCCAAGAGGCTGTCCAGGAGAAGAGTGTTTGGGCCACAGAAGTGGCAAATGCAAAGGCCCTGGGGTAAGAGTTGCTGGGAGTGTTTACGGATGAGTGAGGAGACTATCATGGATGGGGGACTGAGAGATCCATTCGCGGAGGTGGTGGACCTGTAGCCTCAACAGGGTCTCACTCCGACTGCCAGTGCACCACGAGCCGCTGCAGGAGGCTGAGCTGAGGAGAGACCAACCGGAGCGACTTGGACCCAGTTATCTCTGGGCCAACTTGGAGGCCATCCCTGTAAGGGCAAAGAGTGGCCTGAGGGGTGATTCATGCTAGGAGAAGGTTCTGGACCTAGCCGTGCTGGTCTGGGGGTCACCTCATGGTCACAGGTCTTCGTCTCCAGCACCTTTTTTCCCCTCACTAGGCAGAGGCCACTGGGAGCCGAGCACCCTGCTCTTTTGGGCAGCCATGCTCCTCGCTTCTGTACTGACCACGTGGTGACCGTTGGGCCAGGGGCTTTTCTGAGCTGGTCAGAGGTGACCCAGGAGAGCCTGGGCAGTGGTGGGCTTTTTGCCCAGGGCAGCCCCCTGCCCCCAGGACAGCATTTGCTTAGAGCCTTCTACTGCGGGGCCCGGGATCCAAGGGGTCTGACCCTGCCAAGGAGGGAAATGACCAAGGTGAGCATGTACCTGGGAGACATTTGGCCTCTCAACTCTCCCTCCCTAGGGATGGCCCCATTTCAGGGGGCTACCATTTACTCCATGCCCAAGACCAGCCCACCATCTGTGGCTGGAGCTGGACAGCTTGGCCTCTGCTGTGGTGTCCTCTGGGGGGGCTTGGCCGTCTCCCCGAAGGCCAGCCTCAGCAGATGTGATTTCCAAGGCGGGAGCTGTGGTTCAGGGATGCCTGCAGAGGAGGCCTGTGGAAGGTCCC